GGCCTGGCCCCTTCCCTCCCTGCAGCCCCTGGGCACGGGCCGGGGGAATGGCCCTGCTTGCTGCCCCGTCACTCTGGGCTCTGCTGCCGCCACCCTCCTTGGCGGTTTCCAAGTGGAACATCCCCAAAGTGCTGCTGCCCTTCGCCCAGAGCACCCGAATCAACTACAGGTAATGTTCTGTACTCTGTATTATCCAATATTTTCGTTAATCTGACCACTTTTTGGTCCTGTTTAGGTCGGATAATTGGGACTCTACTGTTGGACTCTCAATTGCCCACCGTGTGCTGCAATTCAAGGGACGTCAGCAGCTGAGGAAGGAGAAATGGGCCAGGTCACATGGCAGGTGGCCGGGGGCAGTGCAGGGTTTTAGTTTTGCTTTCAGGGGCTGCTGCAGGAGCCTTTTCAGCCAGGGAGGCTGCATGCGGCATGGCACCCCAAGGTTTATCCGGCTATGTCGGATAACGTGGAATGTCGGATTAGTGAAGGTCGGATAATCTGGACTCTGCTGAATATGTGAGAGTAACTTTATGTATGTAAGTAATCTTTCTGAGATCAATCAAGTTGCTCCCATGCAGTTGCAGGATCAGGGGGTGAGAGGGAAGTTCTGGCCTCACCTCCCTTCTAGCTATATAATTTGAAAAATCAAAATGTATTTTGCTTGGCTTCAGTAATGGATCAGAATCATTTTGGACCATGCTTCAGAAGTATTGGTCCCTGTTTTCCCACAGGAACAATCTGCACCTACATTTTACATAAACAAATGCAGTTCTTCCCTGGGTGCCTATCTGCATAGGTGGATCTCTTGCTACCTGATTGCAAAGACAAATCAGACAGTTATAGGCTCAAATATATGACTAAGATTTGTTTTTGAAGGTAAAAAATGTGTCTACAAATAATGCCCGCGAAAAGAAAAGAAGGCCTGTAGAATGAATCCCCTATTTTTCCCACCCCATTTGTAAAAATAAACTAGCAATCACCAGTCACACATATGAAAAAAAAATCAAAACTATGTATGTAATTCAATGTATGGACACATCAACTAATAGTAATAAACTTTCCAACCAGAAAGAAATCTCAAAACTTCCCATAACTTATACCATCAGAAAAAGCTTATGTCTAACCTTGTACGGCAAGCAAATTGAGGTGCTGTAGCCAAAGGAAATGTGAGTCCCAGAGTTGAGTCCACCTGCTCCAACCACTACAAAGTCACAGACTGCCAGCTTAGATGTCCCATCTCTGCTATGTTGTATTACAAAGGGAGAACCATCTCAGCAGCATTTTAGTCAGGGATTAGCCTGTGATCTTTAGAATACATAGTTCTAAAAACTAACTTCTGTGTGTGCTAGCACTGGCATTAACAGGCTCTGCAAGTTGCTGCAGCTAGATTCACATCACCGGCTTCATAAAATAGATGAAGTAAGGCAGGCTAAGCATAAAATGATTACTGTACACCTGTTAAAGAACCATTTTAGCTTAGTTGCCTCAAGAGAGAAAACACCATTTTGAAAGAACAAAGGATCCTTCCATTTATCACTAGCTGTATTGCTTGGCTTTATTGTGGTTCCAAGTGATTTAATGCAGCCATCCATATGCTGCTACTCATAAAATATTAACAATTAACAAACATTAAAGGTCTTCTCATGCAACACTTCGTGTGTCCAGCAAGAGAGGCTGAACCCTAACACATCCTGTCTCAAATATGAACTATGATCAGTTTTCCTGTGGTTCTTGTAGATAAAGCCATAGGACTGGAAGGGACCCTCATGAGGTTATCTAATCCAATCTCCAGCACTCAAGTCAGGACTAAGTAATAACTAGACCTGACAAGTGTTTGTCTAACCTGCTCTTAAAATCTCCACTAATGCAAAATTCCGCAGCTTCCCTTTATTCCAGTATTTAACCACCCTGACAGGACATTTTTCCTAATGTCCAACTTAAATTTCCCTTTCTGAAATTTAAGCCCTTTGCTTATCCTATCATCAGAGGTTAAGGAGAACAATTTTCTCCCTCCTCTTTGTATCAACCTTTTAGGTTCCTGGAAATGGTTATTGTGTCTTCTCTTCTCCAGACTAAACAAATCCAGTTTTTTCAATCTTCCCTCATAGGTCATGTATTCCAGATCTTAAATCTCTTTGTTGATCTTCTTTGAACATTCTCCCATTTATCCACATCTTTCCTGAAATGTGGTGCTCAGAATTGGATGCAAGACTGCTGTTGAGGTCTAATCAGTGTGGTATAGAGCAGACAAATTATTTCTCTTGTCTTGCTTACAACACTGCTGCTAATACATCCCTGTATAATGTTTGGGTTTTTTTTTCCAACAATCCCATGCCATTGACTCAAAATTAGTTTGTGATCTAATGACCTCCAGATCTCTTCCATGGCACTCCTTCCTAGGCAGTCATTTACCATATTGTATGTGTGCAAGTGATTGTTCCTTCCTAAGTGAAATATTTTGCATTTGTCTTTATTGAATTTCATCCTATTTACTTCAAACCATTTCTCCAGTTGGTTCAGATCACTGTGAATTTTAATCCTGGCCTCCAAAGCACTTTACAACCAACCTCTCCTCACTTGATGGTCTCCACAAACTTCTAAGTGTATTCTCTTTGCCAGCGATTCCCAATCATTGAGCCAAGGCCTGCTGCTGGGCCACAGAACTATGGCTGTTGGGCTGCAGGGGCTCTCGGGGCTGGGACTAGGGGTGCACTGCTCCCGCTGTGGCTGTTGGGAGAGTTGTGTCCTGCCCCACCTCTCAGACAACCAGCACCAGGCAGGGGTGGGGTCTGTTCCCAGACATGGAAAAGTGCTTTGCTGCACAGCAGGAGGGCTGCATGGAGCCCAGCATGGCATCCTTAGAGCAGCTGCGACCCAGGCAGCAGTGCCCAGTTGGTGCCTGGGAGGCAGCACAGAGCTAGGTGAGGGGGGGTGAGGCAGGCAATGGAGGGCCCTAGGGGTGGGGCTAGTGCTGGGGAGCTCTGGAGGTGGGGGATCTAAGAGGCAGGGGACTGTTACTAGGGGATTCTGGGGTGAAGCTAATATTGAGGGTTCTGGGGGCAGGCCTAGTACTAGGGCGCTCTAATCGGGGCTGACAATGCAGGGCTTTGAGGCATCCAGGGTGGGAAGCTGGCACTGGGGGGGGCACTAGGGCATGGCTAATATTGGGTCCTGGGGGCTGGCACTGGGGAGAGCTTGGGGGATTGGGTGCAGTGGGGCTCTGGAAACAGGAAAATGGCACTGGAGGGCCTGGTGGGAGCCCTAAGAGGCAGGTGGCTGGCACTGAGGCATGAGTAGTGGGAAGTGGCATGGACTGGGACACTGATTCTCATTGCTCTCATTGGCCATCTGTGGCCAATGGGAGCTGTGATTGCCAGTACCTGTGGCTGTGCAGGTAAATACAGCAATGTGGGGCTGCCAGGAGCTAACCCTCATGGAATGTATCTGGCCTGCAAGCCATTATTTGCTCTCCCTTGGGTTAGAGGGGGGTTGCAGATGAAGAGACTGAGATTTTCCAAGATAAAGTGATTCAGTTTTAAAGGTTCCTGTCATTTTAAAGGATAAAAAGGAAGGGTAATTGCTGAGCTAGTTACTAAGCAGGTGTGAACTCTGGAACTCATGGTGGGGATCTGAAACTAACCTTAGAAGAACACACTGGAAAAGTGATCAAAACTTTCAAAAACGCAGACAGCAACCTCTAGAAATGATCCTCCTCTTGAATTATTGTGTCAGGGATTGTTATCTATACTATAGTAGCACCTAGGGGCCCCAGTCAGCTTGGCAGTCAGACATTGACCAGACAGAGTAAGAGACAATCCCTATCCCTGTCTACATAGACAAGGCAGATGAAAGATGGAGAAGAAAGGATGAGCCATACAAGCAGAGTGGTCAGAGTTATGATAGGCAAATATTGTGTGGGTTCCACTTTGTTTGATTTCTTTATCAATAATCTGTTGTTGTGGGTTCCCCCCCCCCCTTTCATGGTAGCATGGGAAAGGGTTAGTTTACTGCAACAGCAAAAGCGTGCTGAGGTAATTATTGAGGAGGGGAGATAAGGAGATGAAAAGTAGTAGGAACAGAAAGAGAGGGGGTTAGGAGGCATGTGAGGGCAGGAAAGTAAGGATGCTGTGGAGAGACTGAGTGAGCAGGGCTGAGGTGAAGAGAGGGGGAGCAAGCCAGTCACAACTGAGGAAAACAGACGCTGATGAGAATAGTGTTGAAAGCCTGATGATGCCACTGCAGGGTCTTGCTCCTGCCTCACTTCTGCCCCTGCCTTAGCTCCTAAGCTTGCTGAGAGCCATGGAAATCCCTTTTAGCTCACCAGGGCTCATTCCCAAGCCTTCAGGGCTGATGGATGCTATTTCCTCCATCTGCCTTCCTTTTTCTGTAGTTTGTATATTTCCATTTCCTACAGCCAAAATACAGCAATACAGATTATCCCTCCCTCCCCACCTTCTCATTCCTTCTGAAGTTCAGCTGCAAATGCATATAGTCCCAGGCCAGTCTGCCCTGTCCATGATGAACACTGGTTTTCTTCTCTCCCAATGAGAAATACTGCAGGAGAGGAGCCAGGCTGCTGGCTTTACAACGCTCTGTACAGATAATAAACTTCCCGTTAGTCTCCCTGCTGTCAGAAGGTACGAAAGAAAGCAACCCCCAACCCACCCCT